TGCTATATGCCAGCCCGTCCCACTGCCGTTACACTCTGCAACCTTCTCAACCAGGTAGGTGCTGTAGTCTCCCTCTGCCTAAGGAGCAGGGTCTCATTCTTAACCGGCTTGTCCAGCTCACACTCCTGGTAAGCAGCAAAACCAGGAGACAAACCCAAAACTCTGCTTTTCTTGCCAAGCCTACACACCTACCACAGAAGTCTTCTGCTCCACTCGTAGCCTAAAACCCAACCAGACCTCACAGCTTACACCAAAATGCTTGTTTGCTAAGCAGAAATCAAAGGAAAGGAACCGGCGCTGGTGGCTCACGCCTGTAATCCTAGCTACTTGGGACAATGAGATCAGGAGGAACAGAGGTTTGTGGCCAGTTTGGGTGAATAGCTCACAAGACCCCATCTCCAAAATAACCAGAGCAAAATGGGCTGGTGGTGTAGCTCAAGTGGTAGGCGCCTGTTTTGCAAGCAGGAAGTCCTAAATTCAAACACCAGGCCCACAAAAAAACTAAAGATAGGGATTATAAATGGATCCCTATCTTTACAAAGAATTTGCACCCATTTTCAGATGCTGAAAAAATATTAATCATGGGAGATAATGTACAACGCACAAGGTGGCACCTCTAGACGACAATTCAAGAGGCTGAGTTGCAGGATTTTCTGTCCCTTTTCAAACCTTTGGTGGGCATTTTCTAAAGGCTCCGTTTGGTGTAGCATGGTGAGGGAAAATCAACCCTTGCAAAGAAGGAAGTTAATTTCAGTATAAGGAAAAAATAACAGTAAGGTGAAAAGCCACACTCCAACATGCATAAATGAAGACAAAAAGAATTCCTTTTTACAAGTCTAGAAATCTGTCGAGACTCAGACATCTGTCACCTTCTGAGCAGACTTTAATTTCAGCGCCGCTTCCACTTGCATTCCCCTTCTCCCCATCCCAGGGATCTAACATATGCTGAGGTTTTCACAGCGCAGAGTGGTAGGTGTGATGTCTAAAATATTCTCAGCTATTTCCAAGACATCTCTGATGGTGCTCATCTTCTGAGATCCTGTCTCTGAGTCTCTTGCTCTGTGGCCTGGACAGCACGGCTCCCCTGTGACACCGAAAGCTGCTCAGATCCCGTGTGACCTGTCTCCATCTTACGTGGACCTAGGAGTCCCCTGGTGATCTGGTAAAGGCTGCAGGTTCTGATTCAGTGAGGCTGATGTGAGACCTCCCGGGGAGGCTGACTCCTAGCTACTTGGGACAATGAGATCAGGAGGATCAGAGGTTTGTGACTAGCAAGTGTGACATCCTGAGTTCAAGCCCCAGCACAACCAAAATTAATTTAATTAATTTTTAAAATGGATTGTAGTGTAGTCACACATAATTGAATCCTTGTCTTAGTGATGGGTTTTATGTCCCACCAAAAAAAAAAAAAAGAAAAGCAAGAAGCAAGAGGTGGAAGCTGGGCATGGTGGTGCATGACTATAATCCCAGCAATCAGGAGGCTGAGACACAAGGATCTCAAGTTCAAAGCTATATAGTGTGATGGACATTGGTTCTCTACCTCTCTCCCTCCCCCCGCCACCCCTCTGTCTCTCAATTCCTTGAGAGTCAATGTGGTGAAAGGAGACAGTGTAGACTTTGGGATCCAGCAGACCCGTGCTCCAGGGTTCAAATCCTAGCTCCCCTACTAGCTAAGTATGACCTTAAATGAGCGGTTAATGTCTTGAGCCTCAGTATACTCATCTGTAAAATGGCTATCGGTCACTCATCCTACAACTGCTGAGTACCCACTGCCCATGCATCATGGTAGGCACTGGGCCCATGGCAGTGAGCAGGCAGTGGAGGGACCAAGTGCAAGGCCACGGGTTCTATCCCAGACACCAGCAAAAAAAGAAAGAAAGGAAAAAATCAGAATAAAGCCTCAGCAGTGTTCACTGAACACTGCCATTTAGTAAATGAAGGTATCATGGCTTCCTTCTGCTCCCTTGGTCTTGATCCAGGCCTCCCTCCGAACTATTTCATTTCCCACCTTGTCTTCAGCCTGCCGTGTCTTCTCTCCCTAAAGAGGTTATAAAGTCATTCAAGACAGGGGTGAAGACAGCCATTTTGCATTCTCCGAGCACCGGGCCCAATGCCTGGCTTACTAAAATACACCCATTAAAAATGACTGAAATAATTGCCAACCCAGCAGCCAGATGGAAGTGCCAAGGGCGCGTCTCCAAGTCTGGTCTCCATTTGTCCTGAGAAGTGTAATCACAGCCAGGTCCAAACAGCAGTGTGTGCACCGTGCACGGCCCCATCCCACGTGTGCCCAAAGGAACGCCTGTGACTGCAACGGACCCTGGTGACCTGGCGTGTCTGTTGTAAAGAATATCTTTACTCCCAAAGGTACAGACCCAGACCTCAAGAGAAAACAGTGTTGAGACAGAAAGAGTTCACAAAAAAATAAAATCTACAAAGCCCACGAGAAGCCAGTCAGCCTCACTTCTAAGAGAAATGCGACTTTAGTCACCCTGTGCTGGCATTTTCCACCCATCACACTGGAAGGATGAAAGCCTGATGATATGCTAAGGTGGGAGGTGGGAGGAAGCAGACTGGGGGGGTGGGAACTAGGTTTGGCATCACTGGGTGACAAGACAATTTGGCATTATTTATCTAAGTGACACAGGAGTTTTTATGGCGGGGCACTTGGGTATAATAGCAAACGGTGGGAGACAGAGATGGAAGCGATTTTTCTCCACGGTATGCCCTTTTCAACCTTTTACCTTTTAAGTGGATATATTAACTATTCAAAACACACAGTTTTTAAATTCAGAAAAAAATTTAGGGAGTGGGAGAGACTTTAAAAACAATGACAAGTTATTGAATGGGTACAGAGTTCCAGTTTGGGATGATAGAAAGATTCTGGAGCTGAATTATGGTGACATTATTTAACAAGGTGAATATGCTAATGATATTTAATTGTACACTCAAAAACAGCCAAGAGGCTGGGCACGGCGGCTTACGTCTGTAATCCTAACTACTATCTAATCCTCGGAGATGGGGAAGACCACAGTTCGAGGCCAGCCCAAGCAAAAAGTTAGTGAGATTCTATCTCAGCAATAAAAGCAGGGTATGGTGGTACATGTCTCTTATCTTAGCTAGGCAGGAAGGCTTAAATAGGAGGGTGGTGGTTCAGGTTGACCTGGGCACAAATTCAAGTTCCTGTTCAAAGACAACTAAAGCAAAAACGGCTGGGAGTGTGGCTCAAGAGGGAGAGCGCCTGCCTGGTATGTGCAAGGCCCAGCTAAATAAATAAATAAATAAAGTTAATAAAAGGGGGGGGGCATAGTTCAAACCCCAGTACCTATTAAAAACAAAACCAAAACAAAATGGTAATCTGAAGTGTTTACCAAAAGCTCACGTGCAGAAGGATTGGTCCCCAGTGCAGCAGTGTTCAGAGATGGGGCCTCTGGGAGGTGACTGGATCTTAAGGTCTGGACTCTGACCTTGTCAATGGATTCATTCATTGCTGGATTTATAGCTGAAATGAGCTTATGGGAGGTGGTGAAACACATCCACCCCACAACGCCTCACCTCCAGCAGGAATTTAATCTTTGTGACGTGGGAAGGAATTGAACCCTCACAATTGACTTCTGTTTCAGCATTGCCATCACCTTACCAGTAGAGAACCACCAAGCCTGAGCCCTGCTTACGACTCCTTGGTACATAAATTGCCTACAGCTCTTGCAGTATGGAATTGCTTTCTTAGAGCCATTATTTTAACAGCTATATTTTTTAAATTAAAAATAAATTTGACAAATTATTCACATGTCTGGGGTATGGTGTGACATTTCAATACAGTATGCACGTGTAACGATCAGATTGAGGTAAATGACATATCCATCAACCTTAAACATTTATCCGTTCTTTGTGCTTCTTTGTGCTGGGAACATTCAAAAATCTTCCTTACTACCAGCTGTTTGGAAATACACAATTAATTGTTTGGAAATACACAATTAATTGTTGTCAACTGTAATTACCCTTCTGTGCTACAGAATATTAGAAGTTATTTCTCCTGTCAAACCCAGCTCCTGTACCCATTAATCATTTTTCTTTCTATCCCCTTCCCCCCTCCCGCCGTCCCCATTAGTCATATTTTACATAGAGATGGTAATTTGGGGTTTTAAATAGTCTGACCTCAAGTGATGTGACTATCAAGTCACTGGTAGCTGTCCCATTACCACTGATGAATTAACAAATTTTCTTTCCAGCTCATTATCATTTTTGCAAAGTCAGTGTTTAGAAACCTAGCTAGTTCAGGCAGAAGGGAGGGGAGACAGAGACAGGCAGCTCCTGCAACAAAACCACTCACCTGAGGTCACTGTCCTCTCACCAGCCCTCCCAGTCAAAGACACGAAGCAGACATGCAGTGGAATTCCAAGCAGGTGTGGCCTCTGGCACTGCTCCATGCTGGCCACACCCTGGCTCTGTCCATGTTGATGTGCTGTGTGGGTTCCTGCTTTTACTTTCATCTCTGCATCTTCCTGGGATTTTCTAGTGAGGAGGAACTAGAGAAATGGAAGCTTTTTTCACAACACATGCAGTCCAGGACCTCAGAAGGGATGACGTAGATTCAAGGTCAACAGCACACAGCCCCTCTTCTGAACACCAATCAATACCATGGTCTGACCACCCTTGAAGCCCCCTTTCCCAAGAGTTATCTTATGTGGATCTTGGCCCGGGCAAGTGGTGCTATCGTGAGGACATGTGCCAGCCCTAGCTCCCCAGGCAGACAGCCACCATGCCCAGTGGTTTTATGTCTGGCACAGGTTCAGCACCTGGCATTTCAAAGATGCTGTGGTTTTTGAATGGACAGGTGACTGGGCTGACCTGATCTGCCTATGTGCAGGAAACAGCTGAGTCATTGGGTAAAGAAGCAATCCAATCACTCCTGAGAACTGACCACCACCTGCTTTGTCACTGGTAAAATGACTTCTTTCTGTTCACACTGTGGTCAGAAGACAGAGGCCACAGGTTGCGAGTGTAGCTCAGTGGTAGAACATATGCCTACATGGCTGAGACCCTGGCTTCCATCCCCAGCACCAACACACAAAAAAGACAGTTGCCTTATTTAAATGTGGCCTAAAACCTGCACTGAAGGGAAGCAATGATGTCTTGCAAGCCTTCCTCACTGTCTCTTGACTCATATCCCCAACACCGTGTGTTTGCCATCCACGTCCCACATGGCTGACACTGACACACTTTTGAGTCTTTCCTTATTCATGAGTTCCTCCAACCAGAATTCCTGCTCTGCCTCTACAGCGATCCATGTGGTGACCACTCACTGAGGTCCTGAGACACTGATCTGCTCCTTCTGCATTCCGGGCACCTCTGAGCTGAGAGCTGCTTGAGGCCAGCACTTTGCCAGTGTGACAGGCTGAGTAACCTATCATCCCCCTTTTCCTTGGTGAGGCAAATGACAAATACCATAATATAAGAAAATGGTTTTATTCCTAATTTTTAGTTCCATACAGTTTACAAATACACTTTTACTCTGATAGTACAGCTTTGCAACTAACAAAGCAGTTGAACTAACACCATAAACGCAGGTGGGGAGACAAGTGACATCCACCAATACTTCTCTACATAGACTGTTCTTTTAATGTCATTTTAAAAACCATTGCAAATAGACTAATAGTGTACGTGGGCAAAAAGGCAAGTAAGTGACTCTTGACACACTAAGTGTAATAAACAGCATATTCTCACATTTACAAGATCACATCAAGATGATGACATCCTAAAACGTATTCCTTTTAAAGGACAGATTTATCAATAAAATATTACATATCTTTTAATACTCTGGTACAATACTTCTTCACACACTGTGGGAGAATTAAAATGTGGGTCTACTCATCGGCTTAATAAAGGAGCCTTTTTCTATTAGCTTTTATTAATAAAAGAACCACAGTTAGGTCATAAATAAACAGGCAAATTATTAATTACATGATTTGAGGTTTAGGATGAAAACCTGTAAAAATTAGTTTGATACACAGTAAAGTTATACAACACACTAAAACCAACTGTTTAATATTTTTGCCTTGTGTGAACTGCCCATAGTGAGAAAGAAACAAACTTTAGTGATGGAAGATACAAGAAACTATATTTTGGAACTTATTTTTCAAGAGGAAGAAGGAAAAAGACTTCAACAGAATTAAGGGCTAACACATATCCTAAGAAAGGCATCTTAAAATCAGGGTGGTCATGTGCTTTCTGTGTAAAACTGCATTCCCCACAACGAACAGAAGACAAACCTGCCCCGGGCTTGTGTACATCTAGCACCTGACCTCTCTACATACCACTGTCTACAACAAATCACGCCACAACTTTCCTCATCCCCAAAACAACCCAAGATGTCATACCAGTTCTTGAAGTCCCCAGTAAAATAACCCCTAAAAAAATCTGGACCATTTTCTTGGCTGTTCCAACTGGGCTCTGTGGAATGCACAGATACCAAGAGATCCCGCGTGTGTCTTCTTACTCCGTTTAGCTGTGTTTGAAAAGTCACTGACTTCAACAGGAGCAATGACATTGAGCTTCAGGAGGGCCACACACTGGACAGGAGGGGCCTCTGAATTTTTTTTCTTTAAAAAAGCTATTAAGCCTCTGAAATTTGAGTCTTAACTCAAAAGTCTTTGACTTTTTAAAAAACCTCAATACCATGTACCAGATAATTACTTTACCCCAAATATAAAATCCTATGCTTCTCATTTTAAAACACTTAGCCAGCTATGGGATAGTGTGTATGTTTAATGTCCACCAACAACCCAGAAGCAGGCTGCACATGTGTACCTGCCATCTGTTCTCCAGGTAACCTGACTGCTCTGGCCCTGGACCCCTTGACTTTCCCACAAACCACCTCTTCAAACTCTTTTAAACCCACACCTGGAGTACCCCATCTTCCCAGCCCCACCGCCTGCGTCCACCACATGTAGAATAACCTCACCTGAGCACCTGCAATCACCTTTTACCCAACACTCACAGATTAGCAACCTAGAGACATTCCGGGTCTGCTCGTGGCATCGGCTCATGTAACAACACGACAGTCTGCTGACTGTGGAGAGGAATCTCCATGATATCAATGAGTTACAGCAATCAAAGATGGCCAAGATCAGGTATTTCCATTTCAAGATCTTAAGCTACGGGCAGAGTTAATGCAGCATTGAACCTTTGTGTGCTGGTGAAAGGCTTGGTCCCCAAAGTGCAGAGTCAAACATGACCACAGAGAGGAAAAGATTCCAGGTGACAACACAGCAAAAAGAACAGGACTCATGATCCTGTTTGCAAGTACTGACCTGGAATCTCTTCCATACCAGGCCTGACAAGAAGACAATCGTCATTCCAGTCCCCTAACCAGGCAACACCGTCAGGCCACGCAGTGCTCTGAAGCAACTCTAGGTTCACTGGATATGGGATCAATGTGCATTTTCTCTGTGAAAATGGAGGCCGCTGCGCTCACCCAAAGTACCTCAAGGTTTCCAGAGAGCAGAAGGCCCCAGGAAAGAACTACCATGGGGGTGGGAGAGGGGGTGAGTTCTTCCTTTGAGGAGCCAAAGCAAGATGAATCTGAGTGAGGAAAACAGGACTTTCTGGTGACTTTGCTGTGGCATTTCATGATCAGTACAAAAGCCAGCCCATGAACTCCTCTCCCAGAATGATGTGAACTGAGGCGAAGAGGGAGATCTCTGGAAAAGGCACTTAAGACAGGACAGTAGCAAATCCCACTGCTTGGTTCAAACAAAACAGGTTGACAGGATGTGACTGGAGGCCTGGTCAGGACTGCCTCTCCTCACTGGGGCCTAATCGCACACCAGCCATGCCAACAACACACACCACCTTCACCAGCGTGTGTGGGTGCCCAAAGGATGGGGTGGCTCTGCCTTCAAATGCTCTGGCCCCCAAATACATCCATCCTCAACATACCAGTTTCCCAAGTGTCGGTTCAGCAAGTATGCTTGGTTCTGGCAGAACTGGCTGGGAAGCTTCTTGAAGGCCCTCTGTATTTCTCATCTGACTTGGGGCTATACCAGCCACTGAAAGCAGCCTCAGCTTCCCAAAGTCACAGCAGCCTCTACCCTAGCTAACTAGAGCTGGTTCCATGGGCCCCAATTGAGTAGCACCTGCACTGCACCCTTCTTCTTGAATTGGAAGGTGGAAGAAGCCTGATGTTTCTCATCAACCACGGAGCACAGAAGGGAGCCCCACAATGCTGGACCTGAGTCTGAAGAAGGCCTGGCCACTTCTGCTTTTGAGCTCCTGGGAGCTCTGCACCACCATGTGAGGGGCCCAGACACCCTGATCGTGAGACCACGCACAGATCATACGGAGAGATCCTGAGGACTCTACAGAAAGAGAGAGAAGCCCAGCTGTCCCAGAGTCTCAGCCCCCTCTCCAGCCATGTGAGCAACTGTGTGTAGGACCAGCAAACAGCTCAACTGAGCCCAGCTCAGACTGAAGGGGGGAGGGGAGATCACCAACACTTGATCACCAAAACACTGCTCATTCACAGATGCCTTTTCACGAAGATAACACGATTACCCAGATGCAAAGAAGACATGGCAACCGTTTCTCCCATCACAACTTTCTCTGTCAAAAGCTGAATGGTAACTGGTCATCTGTTAAGAGCAAAATACTTCTCTCATCCTAATTCATAAATGTTTGTGAGGTTTTTTTCCCCATGACTTTTTAAGGTCAATGCAAAGATAATCAATTTCTGACCGCCTTAGACACTGGCTTCATGATCACCTACGCAGAAAACAAAACAAAACAAAGAAGCCACCAAAGTAAATTACCCACTACTGGATAGGTGCTTTGGTTGGTGCCATGTTAGATGCCATGGTGGTATTGAGTGGTGGGACCTTTAAGGGGTGGGCAGTCTTGAGGGCTCTGCCCTCATGAATGGATGAGTGTCACTATGGGAGTGAGTTTGCTGTAAAAGCAAGATCAGCCCCCTTTCTCTCTCTCACCACGGGTGCCTTCCACCAAGTTACCACACACCAAGAAGGCTCTCACCAGATGTGGCCCCTCAATCATGGACTTCCCAGCCCCTGGAACTAAAAAAAATAAATAATCTCTGTTCATTAGAAATGATCCAGTCTTCAGTACTCTGCTAGGCACACAAAACAGAGTAAGACAACAAGCAACGTTAAATTGTTCTTACTTCCCAAATCATTCCTTCTTACAAGTGCCCCATGATCCCTCACAGAGAAAAAAAGACAAAATCAGTTAAGGTTATAAAAAGAAAACAAAATTGCCCAGAATTAGAATTTGAATCTCATAATCCGTAAAATATGGAGCAGAGTTTCATTGCTTCCTACATTTGAAACAGAATTCTATAAAACACACTGTCTACATTGTAGAGACAATGTCTTCTTATCTGAGGAAGTGAAGTGCAGAGTTAGAACTGGTGGTCTTTACACATTTCACAATTTGCTTTTTGAAAGGTAGTCATCACACTGCAAGCCTTCCAGTTCCTTCTCATGGAAACTTTCTTGCGTTCGTCCTTGAGCTTTGCAGGAAGAGGGTGAAAGTTGGCATCTGGGGAAGAAGTAAGTTAGAACGTTTCAGGAGTATGTACTTAAGAGCACGGTAAAATGTTAAACTATTTTTTAATGTAGTCCTTGCACACATTAGGCAAGCACTCTACAACTGAGCTACATCCTAGCTCCAAACTATTTCAAAGTGCATTTGAGGTTTTTAAATATACTACCCTTTGAGACGGGAACTTCCACGTGAAATATTGATGATGCTAGGTGTTCCTCACATAACATTAAAACACATGTCACATATTTGGGTCCCAGTCTGAAAGGGTGACTGGCAGTGAGGAGATGCACGTGGGATGAGACCCAGCAGCAGAGCTGCAAGGGAAGCCAGGGAGCCCGGTGTCCTGTGTCCCAGCCGGCCAGAGCAACTGGACTGAGGACTTAGGTATCCCGACCAGAGCCACCTGCTGCTGTGTTCTGATGCTTTCAGATGCCGACAGGTGGAGCCCGGCACACTCTGGGTCACCCAACCCTAACCACAATGCGGGGACAGCGAGGGCTGCTCTTCATACCGCTGGCTAGTCCCCTTGGCGGGTGCTGACAGCGCCCGGCGCACCGCGATTTCTGAATCTAACTTAATGCCTCGGTTCGGAACCGCTGCCATGAGTGGTGGGAGCGCCGTGAGAGCACGGCACTGAAGTACCTGCTTCGGCGCTGAGGCTTCGGCGTCCTCTCACCGGAAGCTCTTCTGCTGCTGCACCAGGCCCACGTTCTCATAGACTCTAGCACTGTCTTCTCTCACGCTGCAGGGCAGGAGAAAAGGATGCCGGTGTGCTGAGCAAGCCGAAGCGGTGCTCGCACAGCACACACTGCGTTCCTCAGGAACCAGCTATGCTACCCTTCTCCTCCCAGGAGCCCATGTTCTGGGAAGGGACACATGGCATTATGAAGTGACAAGGGCACAGGCCTCTCGAGTGTCCATACTTGCTGGGGGTGGAGGAAAGCAGATTGCTTTCCAGGCAGGCAGGGCACGGAGGCCCTGGCATGAGGTATTTGTGGTAGACCACGATGGAACTGGGCACATACACACAGACAGGAACTGCCTCAATCCCAAAAGAGGGATCAGAACTGGCAAAGCTCTGAGAAGGGGAAGTCTGAGAGCCTCCACTCCCACACCTGGAGGCGACAGGTGTCTTAGGGCCTGGGATGAAGTACCAAAGCACAAAGCATCCAAGAGCCCAGACTCCTTTCTGCTGCCTCAGGAGGGGGGATCCGACAGTCCTGGAGGACAAGTAACCCAGCAGTATGGGTGCCAGCCTGAGAGGGGCTCTGGGGCCAGGGTATCCTGAATTGTACCCTTCTGGGGACTGACACAACTGAAGAAGCAGAGAGCCTATCAGTATCAGGCCTGCCACTGGAAGAAGGGAGTGCTGGAGGGCTCCAACGTGAGAGGAAGCTTTCCTGACATTCTGGCTCTACTGCAAATTACTGCAGATAGCAATTTAAAATATCAAGTTTCCCAGGCAGCCCACTGGGACAGAAAGAAGCCCAGACTTGGAGGAGAGAATGCTTCTGCTGTATAATTTCATTTCAATGTTTAACAGAAAGCCAATGTAAACACAAGCCTCTATCAGCTCTGGAAAACATTTGGATACAATATTAAAGTCAGCGGGGCTTTAAAAATCCACATCAGAAGCAGAGACAAGATTCTTAGGGGAAAACAAAAAGTAAATGTTATACAGGAGAGCACCTTTGGAATATATACAAAATAACAACTTACGATTGCTATTCATATGATCAATTTAACAAACGTTTTCCTACTGAGTTTTAGTTTTAGTTTTAGTTTAGTTGGAGAGGTTTTCTAGAATATATTATTCTTTGGAGTTTTCTTTTCTTTCTTGTCTTCTTTTGTTTTAAGCTTTGGCCTGTGGATTATAGTTTTCAGACCCTTGGTTTGAACACCCAAATCAAATTTCTGTTAACTGGTGGGAAACAGCCGATCATGGACAAACTGACACATTAATAGCCAATTTATTTACTGTTATTTGACAGTCTTAATGCATCATATGGGATGTTACTTACCTTCCTGCTCAATAATCCCCACCTCTGAGAAAGAATACTTAGATTCTTCTCAGAGAACCCCACTTGACAGGCTTAGCCTCCCCAACAATCCTGGTGAGCACAGCAAACAGTCTTCCTTTCAGGATAGTGACGATCCCGCTCAGACAGCATGAATGCCAGTCAGAGGACTGCCAGTCATGACACACTCGTCGCTGGCAACAGCGGTGTGACTGGTGACAGGCATGGGCAGCAAGCACTTGTGGTTCATAAGCCCTTTTTAGAACTACCTTCAGGTAAAAAGAAGTTCGTTCATCACTACTTACTCTGCACAGGGTGGGGTGGGGGTGCAGGGCAGCAGGGGACTCTGATCGCCACTTGTCTGATCCGCTAAGGAATACTTAATATTGGTGTATTCATGCCCTTTCCTCTTGCTTTTCTGAAAATTGGAAAAGTGCAGACATGAGGGATTATGGTTTTCTTTTAAAGAAATAAAGAAAAACAAAAGGTACTCCATCAAAGAAAGAATAAAAAGAGAGAAGGAGAGACAGACAGTTGGACCCTTGAGAATAAAGATGTGCTGACAAAACTGTTAGGGAATCCGCCTCCTCCACTCCAGGTAAACACATCACATAGTGAGAAGTATTTCTGAGCCATCCAACCCGAAAGCAGAGTCTGCGGAGTCATGCACGAACCACTTGCGCTACTGAACCAAATGTACCTTTTTCTGAGCAAAGACAGAATTCACACTTCCTTTGCCACACCAGCATTAATCATTTCAGAGTTTATTTGCAACTCACTTAATGACTTTCAGGTAAACAGCTGGAAAAGGAGCTCCAGAAGTAAATTCCCTCCGCATAGAAATGGCACACAGCTACAACCGACGCAGTGCTCTTACCAGACACAACAAAGCGCTCCTATTCATTCATTCATTCATTCATTCTGCAGCACTAGGGATGGAACCCAAGGCCTGGGCCAGCTAATTCACATTCTACCACTGAGTCACATCTCGGTCCAACAATACACATCACCCACCCCACCCCCAAAAAAGACCCCAGAGCACCTTGAAACTTTCTCTGGGCTCTAATGATAGCCTGGAGGAAAAGGGTAAAGAAAAGCAATAGGAATGCAGGCTCAGCTCACATGGGCGGGAACCCCAGGGGGGATGGCTCATGGGCCTTTTCCAGTTCTGAGAACGGATTCCATCCAGTGAGCAGCACTACATACCGCTGCCTTCCTTTGTGGATTGCTGGGGCCCAGCCAGAGACTGAGGGACATGTGGAACAACCGTCCTTCCACTGCAGGTGGGGGGTGAAGCAGTGCTACCGCTCTGGTGCACAACTAACTAGTGGAAGTAGCACCAACTAGTTAGTATTTAGTGAAAATGAAAGGCACGACTCTTACAACCCTAGACAGTTACATCTCCTTGGGAAGCCCTTGCCCATAGCCTAAATGCTGGACAGAGGTGGCCCAGTACATGCTTCTCTCAGTAATGTTCAACAGAACAAAGGGATGAGGGACATTTGTAGGGTGAAATAATGTGTATGGGTGAAGAGGAAGAGCCAAAGCCAGTGTGTGTATCAAGCAGATCTCGTAAACAGTGGTAAGCAGAAAACCCTGCTGCACCACAATGAAACAGCAGGACGCCAGCTGGTAATGCTCCACGCATACAAAACAATGTCATGCTCTCTAGCCTTATAAATCTGCATTTGCAGGATACTGAGGCTGCTGATTGCTCACAGGGATGGAGATGAGGGCTGGATCTGATGGGCAGGGACCAGAGGGAGCCTCAGCTATACCTGTCACACTAGACTTCTTTCATAAAGGAAAACATTGAAAGAATACTGCACCTATTGTGACAAAACAAAATGGTCAAATTATGGGTTATGGTAAAATTGAATTTTTTCAAAATAAAATATAAAGCATAGAAGAAATTAGAATCCATCAGGGAGGTGTCTTTTTCCTCCCAGTTAAAACCCATCAAAACCAACAGCTAGTAAAAAAAAAATAGAATGAGAACTTGGTGCTGGTGGCTCACACCTGTAATCCCAGCTACTTGAGATCAGAAGCATGGTGGTTTGAGCCAGCCAGGGCCAAACCCATCTTAATCAATAGCTGGATGCAGTGACTTGTGCCTATCCTCCCAAGCTACCCAGGAGGCTGAGATTGGGAGGATTGAGGTTCTAGGTCAATCCATGCAAAAATGTCTGCAAAACCCCATTTCAATAGAAAAAAGCTGGGCCTGGTGGCATAGGCCTGTCATTCCAGTGATGGCAGGCAGCTTAAATAGGAGAATCACAGTCCAGGCCAGCCTGAACAAAAAGTGAGACCCTATCTCTAAAATAATCAGAGCAAAAAAAGGCTGGAGGTGTGACTCAAGTAGAAAGTATCTGCCTGCATGAAGCTCTGAGTTCAAACCCTAGTACCACCAAAGAGAAAAGGAAAGGAAAGGTGAACCGGTCTTTAGGACTTAGGATGAAAGGCTGAAGCATCTAAGAGCCCAGGTTCCCTTCTGCTGCACCAGGTGGGGAATGAGACTGTAGACAAGGAACCCAGCAGCTCTGGGTGCCAGCCTGAGGGGCTCCAAGACAAAGCTCTCCTGGACTGCACACTGCAAAGATATGACAGGACTGTGACAGCAAGGAAATGCTTGAACTACAAACCACAAGGCATCTCTGCTCTAATACTATGAAACATGGACCAAAATAAGGAGGAGCTGAGACCTGACCCACACAGACTCTGGCTGCAGCAGGCAAAAACCACCCTGAACACTGATGTCATAGCAGTGAGAGGCTGTGACTTATGAAGGGGCTGAAGGGGACCCTGCAGGCCCTGGGGAGTGGGAGAAGCCCTGTAGAGCCAGCTCAACATAGCAGACAGGCTCACATTCTGCAGAGGCCTGTCTGGAGTCACAGCCACCCTCTGGGCTAAGGCTGACTGCAGGTGAGAGCAGGGGTATTATTGAAAGATAGTCATCTGTCATATCTACAGGCTCTGCACCTGCAGATTCAATCAACTGTGGATCAAAAATATTTGGAAAAAACATTGCATTTGTACTGAACATGTACAGGTTTCCTTCTTGTCCTTCCCTGAACAATCCAGTGGAAGTATTTACAAAGCGCTTACATAATACTAGGTGTCAGAAGTCATCTAGAGATGGCTGAAAGTACACAGGAGGACTGTGCAAGATGTACACAAATCCTACCATTTTATATGAGGTACTCAGAGCATCCCAAGATTTCGGTATTGGGGATGGGGGTCGGGTTGAACTAATCCCCAGGGATCTCGAGGTATGACTGCCCTTTGTAAGGAGTGACAATGACCCTGAACACCAGCACACGATGTGGTCCCAGGGCAGAAATGACAAGGTGTCTGAGGCAGTAAGTCAAACTAAGGTGGGCACACTGCTCAGCTACCCTTCCTTTCCTCACTGCAAACCCACTCAGGACTGCATGCAGCACGAGCACGGACTAGTACGGAGCCTGAATGGACATACGCTGCAGCGAGGTGTGGCATCTGAAACCAAAAAGGGAAAGGCAGGCAGAGGCAACACATGACAAAAGCAAGCAGGAAGAGGAAAAGACTCACCCATCAGCGCTTCTTCACATGAATATCTCAGTGTCACCAGGTGTACACATGGTGTCTAGAGATCTCTGGAACCTTCTCAGCTGCCATCCAGAAACTGCCCCAGCAATTGACAGCAATGGCCCATTTCCCATTCAAGAAAGTACTCAATACTTTCTTGAAAATCCAAACCAATATTACATATGAAGCGATGAGAATATTCTAAAGAGAACAATTAATACAAGTGGAAGGGAATCATTTCAATGAATGAAAGACGTCTAAGGAGAAGCATACAAGTGTCGGGGCTCTTACTTAGGAAGAACAGGAAATAAAACCAGCTCACAAGGCAGACAGTGTCTCCGTACAGTAACATCCCAGCCTGGGCTGTTTACACATCAGAAACAGCCTTGGGGGATTGTGTTGTTCTGATTTAGTTTTGAGAGAATGGAGGCTAATGCGTTTCTGAGGCCTAGAAAATAATCTGAAAGTGATCTATCCTCCACCCAAATTCAATACAGAGCATGGTGAACAAACCTCCCACAAGGTTTATAATAAATCCATGGCCTTGCCAAAGGATGCAAAGCCAAGGTGGAGAGGAGGGGTCTACCATGAGGCTCCGAAGCCACCTGGCATGAATGTCTTTCCACAGAAGTAACTCTGATTACTCCAATCATTAAGGTCTCAAATGCCCGAAAGCCAGCAGCACAAAGGGAGGGTAAAGGAAAACACTCCTGCCTAGCCAGCACAGCGGCAAGCATGGGGTCCCACAAGCTCTAGGTCAGGACTACAAGAACCTTGACTCCTTTCACACCTTGTCAGCAAGGTTCACCAGTTCTGCCTCTCCCAAAGTTCACTAGCAGCCTCACCCATCCTGTGCAAACCACCAACAGTTCTCACCAATGTGGCCTGTGTAGAAGCCAAGCCTGTGCATACCCACTCTTCACCCCTCGGTCAGTCTTCTGTTAAAATGAGGTCTTCTCATGTCACTCTTCTGCTTCAAATTCCTTAGTGGTTTCCTGTCTCACTCAGAATGAAGTCTAAATCCTTCATAGTGTCCACAATCCCCCATCTTCCCACCAAGTAAAACTCCAGTCTCCACTTCCTGTTCCAATCCTACCCATCGCTCCATTCCCTCTCTGCCTCCCTCTGCTCCAACCATACAGGAATCATCTCCATTTCAGGACCCGGCACTGTGCCCCCCACATAGTCCAACCTACTTTAATTAACGCACAAATGCAGGAAAGGCCTTTTCACTGAACCAAGGAGCTTAAGGGAGACACACAACAAAACACAAGCCTAGGGGAACACATGAAATACTCAGGGCATACAGCCATAGTCTCTTGTTAACTCAGATTTTACACGTGGTGAAAGTCAAGTCTCCTGAGGCAGCCCCATGTCTAGTCTGTTCACTGCTACATTCTCAGTGTCCAATCTGTGTTAGCAACACAAAAGGCACCCTAAATATTTCTTAAAGGACTAACACCAAAGAAAATATTTCATAAAATATAAGCAGCTGAATGGTAAGTGCCCTACCAGGCCAGTTTAGGGCTTGCTTAATTGAAGTTGCAACAGCATAAATTTAGCCTGCACTCTCACATTTCATCCAGGCCCTACTGCCATTCCTGAAGGTTGTTTTTTTTAAAGTAACTTCTGTCCTGCAGTGCGATTCGCTCCAAGAGAGGACTGCTCTGCTGTGTGCCCACGGCCGCCTGAAGTGGCCTCTGGGGTATGTGACAATTGCCTTCACAGAAGAGATGCCTCATTGGTGATTTTCATTCTCACCAAGGTACAGCAATCTGACACTACTTTACATAGTCACCGGAGTCACAGATAACAAGAGTGAGGTCTCCTACACCAATAAGCCAGGGAAAGGCC